TCGCCACATCTTCCAAACAATCTGGCCATCTCATGGTCCTTCTGGGCAGTACCGCTGTAAAGGAGGCATTGTTAATGTGCCTGTTTCCGTTGACACGACAGTGTCGCTGCTACCTCGTCTTCCCACTGATGCACACGTCCTGCATGTTCGCGTTGCACGACGAATGCAATACAAAGGCAATTATATTACGGGCAATGTCAGACCAAATTGTATCTGGCAAGCTGCTGTGTATCTTACGGCACAACCTCTTTACCAATCTCACAATATTGGTCTTTCGGACAATTGGTTGGTCCAGCACTGCCACGTCCAACCAACTGCAGATGCAAACATTGAGCCCGAGGAAGATGAAGAAGAGGATGATGCTGAACCTCTTAGCCCCGGTGCACAGGAAACTATGTTGTCAGCTGAGGAGGCTCAGTACGGTATAAGGATGGCCCCTGGCGAGGGTCATAGGCCTCTCTCGATTCTTCTTGACGAAGATACCGAGTATCTTTCATTCCCAACAATTTTTGGCGGGAATAAACTGCAACCCGTCTTTCAAGGTCGTCCCATGTCTTACTCGGATATCGCCAAATCATTTGCCATGCGGTACGACCGAAGAGTAGCACAACGCCCCGATTACTTACTCTTCATGGCGAAGAAGATTGAGTTGCTGAGACTCTCTAGCAACATATCTTTATGCTTGCGGAAAAAGAAAATCCGCAATCGGAATGACATCAACGCCGCTAATCTCAGCAACAATGAGTTCATCTACGGACTTGTGCAGCACGATGATGCTTATCGTGTTCTTGCAGGTGTCCGAAATTCCTGCACACATTGGCACAATGAAAAGCAGAAAGTGTTGGCAATGGTAAGGCAGTTTGGACTGCCAACTTTCTTTCTCACTCTTTCAGCGGCAGAGACACAGTGGCCCGAACTTCTGCAAATCCTGAAACGGGTTGTTGATCACGAAAGCATTAATGAAGCAGAAGCACTTGCATTACCATATGCTGAAAAATCAAGGCTGATTCAGTTGGATCCCGTTACCTGTGCTCGATACTTCAATTACCGGTATCAAGAACAGAGGAAACTGTGGGATCTTCCTGGCGGTCCATTTGAAGGGATAGCAATTACGCACTCATATTACAGAGTGGAATTTCAGCAGCGAGGGTCACCTCACATACACCAACTTCTCTGGTTAAGCGAAGCACCAGTGTTTGACACGGTCTCTGGACAAAATGAACGTGAGGTGTGCAACTTCATTAACAGATTCATTACGTGCTCCTCGACAATTGATCATCAGGATCAACAGGGACCCAGTCGCAGTCCGCATTATCTTCAATTTCAGTACCACAGACATACTGCTACATGCGGTAAACGTAGGACAGGGAAGTGCAGATTTGGGATACCGTTTTACCCAATGCGCACTACCCGAATTCTGCGACCACTACCGGAGGACACTGACCAGCAAGAGCGTGAGCGTCTTGTACGAGTGCTGAAACGAATAAATGGTGTTTTGACTGATTACGAAAACCTGCACAACGCAACTTTCGATGACTTCCTGGAAAGATGCGAGGCTACAGAAGAAGAATACTTGCTAGCAATAAGGGCCGAACTACGAAGATGCAAAGTTTTCCTACATCGCATTCCTTCGGACGTGCTGATTAACCCCTACTCACCGAAAATACTATCCACGATGAGGTCCAATATGGATCTGCAGTACGTACTCGACGCCATATGCGTGCGCGTCCTATATCATTGATTACATCAATAAGTCCGACCGAGGGGTAAGCACAACAATTGAAGAAATGGTTAAGGAATTACGCAAAGGGAACAGTACGCTGCGTGAAGTAATG